AAAAATCATAAAAAAAATATTGAGTCTGTATTCTTGACTAAGTTATTTAGGATTAAAAACTATATTAATACTATAGTATTAAAACAAAAACCTGCTGAATATCACAGAATCCTGCAGAGCAGTACCCAACTTTCTCCCTTGAATGGGGTGTAAGGTCAGAGTGGAAGTGAAATTGAAAGATGAGGCTTTTGATAACTTCTCGGCAAACAAAGGAAGGCTCTATGGTTCCCTTGGTGGTCCAGAGGTGCCCCACTCACCCCAACTCCTGTCCCCTAGGGTTTACTGAAAGCTGAGTGAGATAAAGCCCTTCCCAAACCCTTTTTCTGATCCCTTGTCTTCTAGGGTCTTCTGGACAATGGTTAATCCCAGGCTTGTGTGGTCTGGGTTGACTTGACTTCATCTAAATTTCTACCCATAAGACCAGAATGGGTTCTGGCTGATCATCAAGTGTGATCTGTTCCTAAAAAAAGACATGGACTTCCCTTCATTTTCAACATTTACAGAGCATAGCTAACTTGATCAAAAACCAAACCTGTTGCCATTGGGTCAATTCTGACTCGTGGCATCCCCATGTGTTACAGGGTAGAACTGCTCCATAGGATTTTCTATGCTACAATCTTTACAGAAACAGATCATCAGGCCTTTCTTCCATGGTGTCACTGGTTAGGTTCGAACTGTCAACATTTAGGTTAGTAACTCATCAAAAAACCCATTGCTGTTGAGTCAATTCCGACTTATAGCAACACTATAGGCCAGAGTAAAACTGCCCTATAGGGTTTCCAAGAAGCATGTGGTGGATTCGAACTGCCGACCTTTTGGTTAGCAGCTGAATGCTTAACCACTGCAATACCACGGCTCCTTTAGGTTAGTAGTCAAGTCAGAGAACTTACAGCTAACTTAACCAGAATTTAACGTGTTGACTCATCTAGTGGCAGAAATGAGAAACTGCAAGATCCATGATCTTTGCTTTTGTACTCTGGATAAGTCGCTTGCTTCAAATTCCCCATATCTTTCCCAAATAGTAAATAAGAATCATTTCTCAAAGTGCTGTGTCAGCCTAATATGTAAGCAGATACAGTTCAAACATAAAAGGTAATGATTTTAAAGGAAATACATAATGATGTAATGGATTTGCAACGTTCTGAAAAGTATAAGGAATTTTAAATATATATTACATTTACATTTTTAGCCATAATATTGTAGCCATGAAGATGGGGCGCTAGACCATGTCAAGGCTCCTTTGAGTCCTTTGATTTATGGGGGGAATAAAGACCATGAAACAATTATTCACATGGAAAGAAGTATTTCTAGAAAATAAAATTCTTTTATATTTTATTGCATTAAAAGATACTGAGGAAAATTTAGTCCTGCTACAGAAGGCAATGATAATAGCAATACTTTGTTCCAGGCTCTGTGCTAAGTATCTCACATGCACTCTCTTTTAGCCCTCAGAGAAACCCTCTGAAGAAGAGTTTTTATTCATTTTGCTCTTGAGGAGACAGAGGCATGTGAGATAGAGTGACTGTCTAAGATCACGTATCCAGAAAGTGGTTGCCCTGAGATTTGAACTCGGGCAGTATGCTTTTAATCTCTATAATAAACAGTATTTTAAGTTAAAAAAATGATATATTGTTAAAGCTTTTTTTCCCCCTCTCTTTTCTTTTAAGGGAATACAGATTCTAACTCTTTTTTTTTAATTGTACTTGAGATGAAGCTTTACAGAACAAAGTTGTTTCTCATTAAACAATTAATACACATATTGTTTTGTGACATTAGTTGTTAACCCAACGACATGTCAACACACTCCCCTTCTCGACCTTGGGTTCCCCATTACCAGCTTTCCTGTCCCCTCCCGCCTTCTCGTCCTTGCCCCCGGGCTGATGTGCCTATCTAGTCTTGTTTTGTTTTATGGGCCTGTCTCATCTTTGACTGAAGGATGAACCTCAGGAGTGACTTCAGTATTGAGCTATAAGGGTGTTCAGGAACCATACCCCCGGGGTTTCTTCAGTCTCTGTTAGATTAGTAAGTTTGGCTTTTTTTTTGTGAATTAGAATTTTGTTCTACATTTTTTTCCAGCTCTGTCCGGGACCCTCTACTGTGATCCCTGTCAGAGCAGTCAGTGGTGGTAGCCAGGTACCATCTGGTTGTTCTGGACTCAGTCTGGTGGAAGCTGTGGTAGTTGTGGTCCGTTAGTCCTTCGGACTAATCTTTCCCTTATGTCTTTAGTTTTCTTCATTCTCCCTTGCTCCAGACGGGGTGAGACCAGTGGAGTATCTTAGATGGCCGCTCACCAGCTTTTAAGATCCGGGATGCTACTCACCAAAGTAGGATGTAGAACACTTTCTTAATCAACTGTGTTATGCCAACTGAGCTAGATGTTCCTGAGACCATGGTCCCCACAGCACTCAGCCCAGTAATTCAGTCCCTCAGGGAATTTGGATGCGTCTATGGTAGGTTCTAATTCTTAAGGGGACATTAAAAAGTAAATAAATACATAAGCAAATAAATAAATAACCAATTTATCTCTTTAAGATTAATTAATTAGGGTTAATGGATCTAAGCAATTTAGAAGTTCTGCTCCAACGTAGGAGTCTGATCTATAGATACAATGTCAAACACTCGTAAGATGGTCTTTGGGAAATGCGAAACGAAAGAAGAGGGTAACATACGTTAGTATAAGCACTGACATTCATATCCGCGCAATAGGTTGCTAATCTTTCCAAACTTAGTGTTGTCCATTCAAGTTTCAAGGAGAAGAAATGTACAAACCATTAATGATGCTCCATAATAATGTGCAACAAATCGAAGTGTCTTGCATATTATCTTTCTCTTCTCAGAGTCAAAATCCTGGAAATATGTTATTAAAAAGAAAGAAAACTAATTGAGAGAACTATATCTGCAGCAAGAAGATGCAAATGATTAAATGTAAAAATAGATTATTTCTTATTTTCTGAAACACACTCTGAGGAGCAGTATTCCATTACCTTGATATTTGTTTCTGTGGAGAGTAGAACAATAGCTTCAGCCTTCTATAGCTACAGCTACCAGATTTTTCTTTGTTTAAACACTTGGCTCAATAGAACTCAGATATAAGCACACATTTAATAGTCTAGAATGCTCTAAGGATTTTCTGACAAGCAAAGATAAGAGGAAACTAATTTTCTTCAATTTAAAAGTTGGGGAGTAAGTCCTATCCCTCTGTGACTGGGTTAAAGATTCATTCTAAATCATCTGCCTCATCATCAGTCTAACCACTGTTTTTATGATCCTTTACCTTTCTTCTCTTTCCTAACCATACTGTCTTTTCCAAAATCTGTAAGATGTGTGACCTCTTGACCTATCCCTCCCAGAGTCATTTTTCTTATTTCTTCATTACTTTTATTCCTTCCCAATAAAGCATAGACATGTATGTACAACAAACTCAACTGCAAGTGGAAGAGCCAAGGGCTTACCTGAAAAATATCATATTTACTTCCGATTATAACCAGGGGTATTGGAAATGGGTCAATCAATTCACGATCCTGTTAACAAATGTAGTTCATGGAATTTAATATAATTGTGTAGTGCTGTATGCTCAGCAATTTCTATTTACTTCCTAAAATATATCATTTGTAGTCTCTTCATAGATGTTGACTTTGTTTTCTTGACAAAGAGTTCATTCCAATATTTGATTTTCACTTCCTCAGATGTATCTCTAAAGTATAAAACTAGAAATAGCAATTCCCTAAATTACTGTGATATTTATTCTTTTTCTTGTTCTCTTTTATTTTCTCATATAACATGTCATCTTCCTGTTTTTTTTTTTTTTCTTCCTATTTTGTATTAACTGTTTATTGCAATAGCATTTCTACTGCATGGATCTGAACCATCAAACTATTTGTTTTGCTCCAGTATTACCGATGTAAAACACATTTACATAAACTCTGGGCACTATAAAATGCTGTTCCTAGCACGACATTCATATTGTGTTTAAAGGACTTGTGGTACCATCATTGCAACTTTATAATCTAATCAGTTGTCAGATGATCAAAAGATATTGAATATGTGACAGACACTAGATGAATGCAAACTACAGACTGATGGTGAAGGCTGTTCTAACTACTCCTTGCTTAAATTTGTAGCTTCTTCTAGTCTCTGCCACACCGCTTTCGTACAGTCTGGTTTTTTATCTTCATTTTACAAAGATTATAAAATCAACATCAAACTACTACTTTAAAACTCTATATCTTTTGATTGGTGTAATATGCCATAACAATCACAGTAGATGTCTTAACAAGAAGACATAGAAATCTTTTTCTTTGTTTTGCTCTTAGTGAGGTTTCATTAAATTGCTGTAATTTTCCAGTGAACAGGTTCATCTACATCAAATGAATTTTAAGTCATGCATAAAAATCTGAAGAAGTTGTTTACGATGTTCTCTTTAACTATGTATGGGGCTAAGGATTCCAGGAATAATCCCAATAGCAACTCACTGGATGATCCTTCTGCAGATTACTCCATATCTTCTGTCTCATTTCAGAAGCTGCTTTAGAGTTTGTCTTTCCCAGCTTCATTATCACTTTATCTATGTGGCTTTTTGTGACTTGCAACAGATTTTCCATGGTGGGCCACAGGTCATTAGGTTTTGAAAGATCCAAAACAAGAACAACAGAAAACGTCCTAAAGAAACAAAAACATCTTTCAAAAGTCTCCAAATAATTATCATTCTGATATCCAGCACACTGAAACTCATTATCTTAGAATAACAAAACTATCATTTAAGGGGGGGTGGTGGGGAGAACCAAAGTTATAGCTTTATTTATTCCAATGCTTTTCTCTAATGATAGGCGAGTATTGCAACTTACAGTGGCACTGAAGATCCTGTCTGAATAAATCAATCATAATCCAGTCCAGTAGAGACTCTGGGAGGAGTTGGATCCAACAATACCACGTTTAGATTCAATTTGACTGTGTGCTCCAAAGAAGGGAAATGGAAATAATAGCAACAGCAGCAGCAACACCACCACGTGAATGAGAAGGAAATAGATTTACTGACGGACCATGCTAGGGAACTACCTCACTTATTTAATCTTTACAACAACTCTTCTAGAAGATGTTATTATGTCCATTTTATGGATTAGAAGCCTGAGGCAGAGATTTGTATAACTAGTAAACTGTAGAGCTGGTACTGAGATCTAAAGCTATATGTCTTTCTCCTGTTCTGTGCTACCTCTCTGAAAGCATGCCTCAAGCCCGCAAATGCAGCCTCACCATCACCACATGGATGTGTACTCATGTTCATGTACATCAACATAAATCTAGGTTATTTTAGCAAATGGTCATAATAAGTAAATAGTGCCATTATCATGGGCCAACACATCCTCGGTCAACAGGACAAATATTCTGCTAGTAGATACAGCAAGATATCATCATATATATGCTATCTAGTTATTTTACTTAGTTCAAAATTAAAGCAAAACAGTAACTAAATTCTGTAATGTTGGTTTATATTCAGAAAGTAGTCTTTTCAACACTAATTATCAAGATTTGCTATAAAATTACTATGCTATTAAATTGTCTAGCCAATCATATCTTTGTCATTTTAATAGGCTCATAAATAGTTTTGCTTAACTGTAAAAATAATATAGCACAGTGTATGCATATTAAATAATAAGGAAACTAATTTATTTTCAGAATTTAAGTATGGCTGGTACTTGAAAAGACAAAAAAAAGATGACTATGGTTTAGCTTTTAAAAAGAAGTCACCTTCAATAAACAGAGCCATGGTCATGCCCAATAGGAGCAGAGAATCAACCCACATCTTTGGAAATCTAAAAATATCCTCTGCTATATGGTCACTGTGAGTCAGAATCGACTCATTAGCAACGGGTTTGGTGTTTTGGTTTGGTCTGCCATGGTGACCCTCAACCCCCACATGCCTCCTCCTACCTGATTTGACATTTTCACTGTCAGAGTCAGTGCTCAGGTTTAGAAACATGGCCTCTGAAAAGCTACTGGCAAAATACACATTCAGTATACCAGTGGGTGATCCTGACTTTTTTCGTTGGCTTCTCCCCCTCCTATATCATCATCAACTGAATCACCTTGTAAGGTAAGGAATGGATTTTTTAAAAAGTGCTTTGCAAAGAGAGAAGGAAAAAAGCTATGGCAAGAATAAGCCCTGGGTAGCTCACCAGGATGTGACAGGAAAGGAGGAAAGGCAGTAGGAAGGGACTAGAGCAGGAGGTGCCAACTGCCATATATGGAGGGAAAACCCAACCCAACCTATTACCTTCGAGTCGATTCTGACTCATAGCAACCCTACAGGACAGAGTAGAACTGTCCCAAAGGGTTTCCGAGGAGCGGCTGGCGATTCGAACTACAGACCTTTTGGTTAGCAGCCTAAGCTCTTAAGTATGGCGCCACCACGGTGCCACATGGAGGGAAGGACAGGGGTGCCTGAAACAAATCAGGCACTCGGGGGGTCAGGCGGAGCCAAGGTAAATTGTGTCTCTACCAAAAAATTTTGCCTAGAACTGTTCCTATTAATTAACCCTCATTTGAGAATTAAATAAAAATTACTATGCAATATACATAAACCAAGAGCAAACCAAAACCAAATCCATTACCATCGAGCTGATTCTGACTCATAGCAAACCAAGAACATTTCACACTGTAGTCTCAAAAATGTTTCCAATGAAAAGTAACTTTGTTTTAAGCAAAAGAGAAATGGATTACTCAAATTTTTTCCCAGTATATTGGAAATTTTTTTAAAACTTTCATAATGGACTTTATTCTTACACCTATTAATAATTTCGATGAAATAACTGTGTTCCAGGAAATGGTGTCATAACCCTTTGAACGGCATTCTTCAAAGGAAAAAAAAAAAGGTCAAAAAAATAAGAAAACATGGGCATGTCTTATTTTAAGAGAAGCCAGGTAAGCATGCCCAAGATCATGTAATGAAATTATTACTTACATATAAAAGAGGACACTGTACATTATAACTAGGAAAGGAGTTTTAAATTTCTATAAATATCCACCAGTCTCCAAAGAACTATGCCCAAATAGTATTAGCCACAATAAAATTTCCATTCTTTGATGTGGACAGTTGACAGCTCCTCAATTTTACATGAAGTGTGAACAAAAGCATCTTTACAGAATGTTTCCATGGTGTTGATCCGTAAAATACCATCTAAGCAAACACAGTGTGTCTGCTCTACAAACACAGTCTGAGGACAACTCTAAGGCCTCTCCTGTAACCGCATGCTGATGCTGCCCCTGGGTTGACCACTGGTTTCCTAATATAAGCTCTTCAGTGGTTTTAAACAATGATTTAATCCACACATTTCAATCCCAGGCGCCTGTCATGGTTTGAACTATGTCCCCCCAAAAATGTGTGTATCAATTTCGCTAGGCCATGATTCCTGGTACTGTGTGATTTTCCTGTATGTTGTAAATCTGCCTCTATGATGTTAATGAGGGAGGGTGGGTGGCAGTTGTGTTAGTAAGGCAGGACTGGGTCTACAAGACTGGACTGTGTCCTGAGACAATCTCTTGAGATATAAAAGACAGAAGTGAGCAGAGAGACAGGGGGACCTCATACCATCAAGAAAGCAGTGCCAGGAGCAGAACGCGGCCTTTGGACCGGGATCCCTGCACTGAGAAGCTCCTAGTCCGGGGGAACACTGATGAGAAGGCCGACAGAGACTGAAAGCCTTCCCGTGGAGCTGACACCGTGAATTTGGACTTTTAGCCTACTTTACTGTAAGGAAATGAACTTCTCTTCTTTAAAACCATCCACTTGTGGTACTTCTGTTATAGCAGTACTGGATGACTAAGATGGCGCCACTTTCCAGAAATCTAGTTATCATATCAAAATGAGCTCATATCATAATACTCTGTAGACCATGGAGTGAATTCAGGATAAGGTAAGAGTCTGAGGTTGTTGTTTAGGTTTTCTCATGTCCTTGATGTACATACAACCTTGGGCAAGATACTCATCTGAGCTCCAGAATTGCAAATAGGCACTATAAAAATCTTTACCTCATAGAGTTCCTGAAAGATTTATATAAGATGCTGTATGTAGAGCATATAAAGTAGTAGGCCCAGTGCCAGGTACTCATATAGAGCATTCCATAAATGGAAGTTGCAGCTGTTATTTTTTTAAATAATATTTTATTGTATTTTCAGTCAAAGTGTACCCAGCAAAACAGGTTTCCATTCAACACTTTCTACATATTGTTCATTGACAATGGTTACATTCTTCACATTGTATCAACATTTTCATTACTTCCATCCTAGTTGTTCCATTTCCATTAACCTCATTTTACAGCTCCCCCAACCTTCTCATCTATGCTTTGAGTTACTTGTTGATCATTTGGTCTCATATAGATGTTTTTTTAAAAGAGAGCAGTACTGAAGAGTGATACTCATTTCACTATGAGTTAACTGCTATTTAGCTAAAAGGTGATAGTTTGAGGGGATAGTTTCATCTCAAGGCTTAAAGAATATCTCAGAGCAATAATCTCAGGGATTCCTCCTCTCTCAGTGTGTCTAGTAAGTCTGGATTTTTTGAAAATTTGAAGTTCCGTTCCACATTTTTCTCCCTTTTTATCAGGATCCATCTATTGGGGTCCTAATAAGAACGTAAGGTAGTGGTGGCCAGGCACCATCTAGTTCTCTTGGTTTCACAGTAGAAGAGGCTGTGGTTCAAGAAGACAATTAGTCCTGTAGACTGGTTCCTTCTCTGAGTCTTGAGGTTCCTTTTTTCTCTTTTGTTTCAGACAAGCAGAGACCAAGAGTTGTATCCTATGTGGCCACTTGCAAGCTTTTAAGACTCCAGATGCTACTCACCATGCTAGGATGTAGAACATAAATTTTATGGACTATATTACGCCAATTGACCAAGTTGTTCCATGAGACTATGACCCTAAGTCTTCAAACTAAGAAAACTAATTCTGTGAGGTGATTGGTTATGTCTAAGAAGTATCAGTTTCTGTGACCCTTATTTGTTTTATTATATACACACACATATGTATACATATAACATATATACACATACATGTATTTTGGTTGTTGTTACCACAAAATTATATATAACATAGCATTTACCAAAACATCTTCATGTGTATGTTTGTGTGTGTGTCTGTGTCCAGCTAGTGGCATCAGTTACCCTGATTAAGCTGTGCACACTTCTCCCACATTCAGTGCTACCTTTCCCATCACCAGAAATAAAAAGTGACTACTGCCTAGAGAATGAATCCCTCCTCCCCCTTCCTCCCTCTAACCACCAAATAACATTTTTTAAAATTTATTGTTGTAGTTTAAATGAAGTTTACATTTCAAGTTAGTCTCCCATACAAAAATTTATACATTTTTATGTCACCCCAATTGCTCTCCCCATGCTGTGACAGCACACTCCTCCTTTCCACTCCTGATTCCCCATGTTCATTCAACCAGCTCCTAACCCTCTCTGCCTTCCCATCTCACCACTGGACAGAAGCTGCCCGTTTAGTCTCTCGTTATCTACTTGAGCTGAGAGGCACACTCCTCACGAGTATCACTTTATGTGCCACAGTCCAGTCCAATCCCTGTCTGAAGAGTTGGCCTTGGTAATTGTTTTAGTTCTGCACTAATAGAGAATCCAGGGGCCATGCTTTCTGGGGTTCCTCCAGTCTCAGCCAGACCACTAAGTCTGGTCTTCTTACTAGAATTTGAGTTCTGCACTCCACCTTTCTCCTGCTCCATCCGGGACTCTCTGTTGTGTTCCCTGTCAGGGCGGTCATTGGTGATAGCCGGGCACCATCTAGTTCTTCTGGTCTCAGGCTGATGAAGTCTGGTTTATGTGGCCCTTTCTGTTTCTTGGCCTAATAATTTACTTGTGTCTTTGGTGTTTTTCATTCTCCTTTACTCCAGGTGGTTGGGACCAATTGATGGATCTTAGATGGCTGCCTGCAAGCTTTTAAGACCCCAGATGCCACTCACCAAAGTAGGATGCAGAATTATTTTTTTAAAAAGCTTTGTTATGCCAATTGACCTAGATGTTCCCTGAAAGCATGGTCCCCAGACTCCTACCCCTGCTACTCTGTCCCTCAAAGTGTTTGATTGTACTCAGGAAACTTCTTAGCTTTGGTTTAGTCCAGTTGTGCTGACTTCCCCTGTAGTGTGTGCTGTCCTTCCCTTCACCTAAGGCAATTCTTATCTACCATCTAGTTAGTAAATAACCCTCCCTTCCCACCCTCATAACCATCAAAGAATGACCTAACCACCAAATAACACTGGTTTCTGAATATACAGCTGTTCTTGTCATTCTATAAAAGTGAGATCATACAATATTTGTCCTTTTGTGATTGACTTATTTCGCTCAGTATAATGTCCTCTATAATGAGTTGCTTTTTATCTTCATAGCAAATGGCAGTTTAAATTTTTTTTTTTTTAAGATAAACTCTTAAAACAGGGACTCAGATCACAGGAAATGTTCTATTACATATTAGCTAAGGTCTATGGAAACACTCAATTTATCTATAGTCGTTCTACGGAAACACTCAATTTATCTATAGTCGTTCTACGAGCAACTATTTTCAAGATAAACAGTATCTAATAGCAAGCATTTGGCAATACTATTTTCTCAAGTTGCTGGGCTTTGTCCAACACAAGGAAATTATGTGTCAAACTAATTCCAGTCAGTTACATTGAGAGTGAAATGTTTTCCAGGAATTCTTTAACTATTCAGCAAGCCACACTGGATCCAGGCCTATGGCTCCCTTTCTCTCTGTTTTTGAGAATCGTGACCTCTCCTCTCCCCTAAAGCAGTCCCAGCTGCTCTGCGTCCAGGGAGAAAAGACCAAGCTCTCACAAAGTGAGGTATTAAAGAAGCCTTGGAGAGATTTGGATTCCTGCAGAAACCACAACTTCTATAAGCCTTGTAAGCTCAAGGAAACCCTGGTGGCATAGTGGTTAAGAGCTACAGCTGCTAACTAAAAGGTTGGCAGTTTGAATCCACCAGGTGCTCCTTGGAAACTCTATGGGGCAGTTCTACTCTGTCCTATAGACTCGCTATGAGTCGGGATCAACTCGACGGCAATGGGTTTTGGTTTTGTAGGCCCAAATGCTCTAGGGCCTAGAAAGCCGAGTGAGGTGATGTAACAAGGTGATGTAACAAGCCAGAGCCAGAGGAGGAAGCAGCTCAAACCCTGTAAGAACTGGCTCCTGCGTTTCCACTTCTTTGCCTCTGGCCGCCCTAACTGGCAGCTCTGTTCCTTCAGGCTCCTCCCGACCTCACCTTCTCTTCTCAGCCACACCACCATGAGCTAGCCTAACTCCCAGGCAGCTTTCCTTATTTGTCTCCTTTCAAAGGGGACAAATGAAAAACTATATAACTGTAAAGTTCCACGTTTCTGAAAAATAATGACATAGGGAAATGATGGTTATAAGTCAAAAAGTAAGATCTAAATGTGATGTAAAATGTCCCAACTCTGTACAAAGTATATTTATAAACACTGAAAAGACTGAAAGAAATAACATGACATGTTAATGGTGGTTATTTTTTACGTGATTATGGGCGCACTTACTTTCCTTGAACCTTTCATATTCTTCCAAATTTTCTATATGAGTATATGTTACCTTTGCAGTAAGTAAAAGGACAGGGAATTATATTTCTTTAAAAGGAAAAACATCACTGGATGAATAAAACCACTATCATCTGCATCCAGCTGGTTATGGAAAAACAATTACTCTATTGACAAGAAACAATTGATATGCGAAGGCTCTTAAGGACCTAAATTTGACAAATACTTGCCAAGCCCATTGCATTTGGTCTGTGCAGCAGCAAGTCTGTGTTAAACTCTGACAAGAGTAAGATATTTCAGATTCTTAAACTTTTGTTTTCCTTGGCTGAGGCGGGTTCCCAGGAACACTGGGAGAAATGTCACAATTTTTCCACATTTGATTTAGCCAACATGTGGGAGTCATTGTCAGAAAGACACCACCAAAGGGTTTTGAGGTTTTCTCTGGGGTCTTATTTCATTAAGGTCAGCAACAGCGAGACTTTCCCCTTCTCCAACATATAGTATTCCCCTGGGTGAAGCTCTAACAGTATCAATTAGGATTAAATTCTAAGGTAGACTTACACTCAGTTGAAGAAAAAACTTATGAAGAAAAAACTTAAAGAGCTGAATTACTGCACAAGGAGATGGGTACTGGAAAGAATTATGTGTTTCAAATTTATTTTTGCCAAATGAATTCACTGCCCAAGTGTTATTTGACATATTTTTTGTTGTTGTTTGCAGGCTTACAAAACATGTTACTAGTTGGAATGCCAGCAATCTCATTTTAGCATAGACCAGAAACGTGGTCCTTTTAAAACCTCTTTGAAAGCTTTGCAGTTTAAGCACATAGAAAGGAAGTGGGTACACGCCTTCAGCAACATAAAACTGCCCTCTAAATTCTGATTCACAAAGGTCTACTCATTCATCCTGTGGACACTACCGTGTACTTGCAACTTTCCTGGGAACTGGCTCACTTACCGTAAGGTGTCACTTGTGATTGGTATGGTGATTAAGTCCAATAAAGAGGTTCCTCCACCCAGTTCCCAAAAGTGAGCAATATGTTTGGGCTGAAAAAAAAAGTTTTTATAATAAAAAACTAGATTTATCATTTAAAATGCTTCTAATACTTTATTAGCACCAAAAAAACCAAGCCAAACCTGTTGCCATCGAGTCGATTCTGACTCACAGCGACCCTATAGGACAGAGTAGAACTGCCCCACAGAGTTTCCAAGGAGTGGCTGGTGGATTCGAACTGCCAACCTTTTAGTTAGCAGCCAAATGCTTAACCACTGGTGCCAGCCAGTAATAATTATGGATATAAAATATCACAGTTCTCAATAAGACCTCCTGGTTTCACTGTCCTATCCCTCAAAATGCACTAAAGCATCTACTTCAGAGAACATTAAGAATATATTGGAGGAAAACAGTTTGGCAGTTCCTTAAAAAGCTGAACACAGAACTATCATATGACCCAGGAATCCCAATCCTAGGTATATACACAAAAGAATAGAAGGCAGGAACACAAACAGAAACCTGTACACCAATGTTCATTGCAGCACTATTCACGATAGCCAAAAGGTGGCAACAATTTAAATGTCTATCAACAGATGAATGGATAAACAAAACTACAGTGTATGTACATACAATGGAGGATTACTCAGCCAGGAAATGAAGTCCTGATATATGCTACAACATAGACAAACCTTGAAAACATTATGCTGAGTGAAATTAGTCAAACACAAAAGGACAAATACTACATGATCCCACTTACAGTAAACAGGTAAACAGAAATCGAAGCTTTCAGTGGTTACCAGGGGGTGGAAGAGAGGGGAAGAGAGGGAGTTATCGTGTAGGGGGTACTGAGTTAATGATGGTGGAATAATTCAGAAAAGGACAGTGATAAGGGTTGTACAACAGAAAGAATGTAAATCAATGTCACTGAATAATACATGTAAAAATTGTTGAATTGGCAAATGTTTTGTTATAAATATTTTTACCACAATAAAAAACTATGTAGAAACAATATTTATGAAAGGAAAAGATCTATTAAGTGCAAAAAGCTCTTACAAGTCCAATGTGAATCCATTCTAGTAAAAGAACATACATAAATATAAGTGTGTGTATGTCTGTGTGTGTAAGAGAGATGGCTAGGGAGTGGAACAGACAGATGTATGGATATACAGCAACATATTAACTCTGCAGTAATTTCTTCCTTTTTACTTGTTTAATTTTAATGAGTACATTCAAATTAAAAAGATAGGTTAAAAAAAAAAGAATATATTGTCACTTTCATCCATTATTGGTGGGATTGTAAAATGGTACAGCTGCTGTTGAAAACAGTTTGGCGGTTCCTCAAAAAGTTAAACATAGAATTACCATGTAACCCAACAATCCTACTCCTAGGTATATACCCGAAAGACTTGAAAGCTGGGACTTGGATACCTGTATGCCAATGTGCACTGCAGCATCATTCATAATACCCAAAGGGTGGAAACAATCCAAGTATCCATCAACATATGAATGGATAAACAAAATGTAGTAAATACACACAATGGAATATTATTATTCAGCCATAAACAGAAATGAAGTCCTTATACATGATAAGATATGGATAGACCTTGAAAACATTATGTTGAGTGAAAGACACAAAAGGTCAAGTATTTATGATTCCACTTCTATGAAATTTCTAGAACAGGCGAATGAATAAAGGACTGAAGTCTACTAGTGCTTACCAGCAGCGGTAAGAGGGGGAAACGGGGAGTTATTGCTTAATGGGTACTGAGTTTTTGTTAAGGGTAATGAAAAAATTTGGAAACAGACAGTTGTGATGGTTGCACAACATGGGGAACGTAACTAACATCACTGAACTGGATATGTAAAAATGGCTGAAATGGCAAATGTTCTGTTATACAGTGAAATCTGTGAGAGCCAGAACTCGACAGGACTGCCTTGTTTTTCGGGGGTCTCGCAAGTTTTCTGACTTTAACAGGGTACACTCTTACCACTTTTTTATTGCTTATTTTAGTGGGAAATATTTGAGTTTTCCTTCTCTGATAGGTTTCTGCCTTACACAGGTTCTGGCTTTTGCAGGTTTTACTGTATATATTTTATCACAATTTAAAAAAAAAACAAAAAAAGAGAATATGTTGTCCATATGTGTACATAAGTGCTCTAATTCCAGTAATACCACACTGGAAGAAATAAACAGTGCCCAGTCTATAAATGTCAGATGTAGCATACACTTACTCAAATTTTAAATATAATCAACTAGCAGAACACAACTGGTATTATCCTTATGAATTTTTTTTATAATTCTAGATAGAAATAAAACAACTGAATAGAAAACATCCTGATCTAGGATAGGAATCTCACAAAATAAATTCTACATACAAGTATGGTACCAACATGAGAACTGGGAAGAAAAGATGGTACTCTTGGCTACAGATCAGTGTTCTCTGAGCAAAAGTATAAGCCAAAGATCTGGCGTGACACCGCGGGAGATCTGATAGGCTCCCGCTGACAAAAACAAGTGGTTAGTTGGGGAACAAGAAGAGACTAAACCGTTCCCCTTTCTATAAAACCAGTTGCCGTCAAGTTGACTCCAACTCATGGCGACCCCATGTGTGTCTGAGTAGAATTGTGCTCCACAGGGTTTTCAATGGCTGATTTTTCAGAAGTAGATTACCTCAGAAGAGATCCGAGGAGCCTCTCGGTGGACTCAAATCTCCAACCTTTTGGTTTGTAGCTGAGCGCATTAACTGTTTGCACCACCGAGGGTCTCCTCCCTTTCCATGCTGTTGTTGTGTGCCATTGAGTCAATTCTGACTCCTATCGACCGTATAGGACAGAGCAGAAATGCCCCATAGGGTTTCCAAGGCTATAAATCTTTACAGAAGCAGACTGCAATACCTTTCTCTCATAGAGTGGCTGCTGGGTTTGAACCACTGACCTTTCTACTAGCAGCCAAGCTCTTAACCACTGTGCCACCAGGGCTCCTCCCTTTCCATAGGACCCCTTGAATGATAGGAGACTGAAAGAGCTAGGCAGCCAAGTAGCTTGGAAATAATACCACCTATTCCAAGAGAACCTTCCTAGACTGCTGGCCAATAGCATCTTTCTTCCAGCCCTGATGCTGAGGAGCCTTCAGGCCACTTAAGTTCTGTATGGAGCTGACAAAGTGCTTCCATAGAGAACTCTTAGGGAACATTAAACCACAGAAAGACACGAGGCTTCCAGAACGAACATGAAAAAATTCAACTTGATAATACAAAGTTCAGAGAAAAAAAGTATGTGAAGAATCATGTGGGCTTTTATGAATCTGTTACCACGAACCTGGAAGAGACAGATGGTCATTAAAGCAGGTTTTAGATGAATATATGTACATACACACTTATATAGATATACACACATACATATTGCATTTTTGACAAATTCTCATCTCTTATAATTAATCACTAAAATTGTTTTGCTATTGATATCTGAATTACTAAAGTTTTTGGGTTGATAATTTTGCATTGGAAAGTCACTCTCAATTCACAATTTGATGAAGGGAAATTTTTAGAGCTCTTCTGAAAACTTAAGCTTACGAAAACAGTCTCAAAGTTTCCGATGAAAAGGATAATTCCATTTCTGGGCTAATTACTCATGTCAGTTCATGTGAGTCATAAAAACGCAGTTCTCCTGCATCTCAAACATATTCTGTTTTTTCTTTTCTTTCTAATTTCACAGTTTTAATAAACAACTTTTGCTGGTGAATACAGGAAGCAACAGGCAGTTTTAACTCTTTAAAGAGTCTAATGATCAGACATTTAGACTAGATCAGTCTATAAAAATTTGCCTTGAAATGGACAAGTGAAACTCTGCTGAAGATTGTTCTTCCATAGACCTAAGTTTAAGTAATGACCTCTTTTCATATGACAATTCCAAAAAAATTTAGGATTTTTTCCCCCTAATATACACTATAAACTCCCCCTTTATCCTGAATAAAGAGCCCTGGTGGCGCAGACAGATAAGTGCTCGGCTGCTAACCGAAAGGTAGGCGGTTGGAATCCACCAGCTACTCCGCAGGATAACGATGTGGTAGTCCGCTTCCATAAAGATCACAGCTTTGGAAACCCTACGGGCAGTTCTACTCCTATAAAGAGACACTACACAAGTGAAAATAAGTTTGTAACCAACTAGGGTCTTGAAGCTGAAATACAATTTACAGCTGTATTTATAAAAATGCTAATAATTTAGATTTTGAGCAGTATATTTTCATAAATATTCAATAGTTCAAACCCATATTTTAAGCAGATTTTTTGGGAGACGGAAGGTAACTCACAGTATTATTCTAATTTGAAGGAGGAAAAAGTCACATTAATACAATTAACATAATGCACCAAAGAAATAAAATTTAAAAGTTACAAAGGATTCTTATTCCAGCATTCCAAGGCACAATAAATGGGAGTGCTAAAATATTTTCAGTTTGGGTTGGCTTCATAGCTGCTGAATTGCATTTGAAGTTTAACAGTATGAAGTGTACCACTGGCTATGTTTATGGACTGTAGACAAGAAGGAAAATGTAAAACAAAGTCAGCGTCATTGCTTCACTGTCTATGGGCAAAGCAACATCACTTAAAACGACACTCACTGTGTTGTGCCCTTTTGCTCTTCTTCCATATGTATATTCCAAAGCTAAGGTTGGTTTTGGTGGCTCATCCCTATACAACAAAGAAAGACAGTATTACCTTCGTGGGTGGTATTAGTTTCTTATGCTATCACCCTATCAGATTAATTTTTGCTTCCTCATAGACACTTTAACAGTAAAGATGTTAATCTGTGTAACAGCAATTAACATAAAAATGATAAAAATGTTACATATATACACATACGCCTTCAAACTATTCTAACGAAAAACCATCTCGTTAGATTTTAGTGACTGCTGCAGAGGTGAACAAGGGCACGTGTGTGAGGCACCGGTGGGGCGAGTGGAGCAGGCTATGGGGCTGGCAGTGCTGACAGCTGTGTGGGCGCAGGCTCCCTGGGTCCAGGCCAGCTGGGAAGCACTGACATCAGGTTTATGCTCGGCCTTGAAGTAGGGAGCTGGGAACCTAATGACTATCAGTTTAAAGGGGACATTAACGGAAGACTTCTAATGCAGTTCCTTATCTTAAATTATGGCTTAAACACGGGTATCACTTAGCTCACGAGGGTTGTAAACAAATTACATCAAGTCCGAAAAATCAACGATGATTTGGAAAATATTTAAATGATTTGATGAATTATTTATACTATAGCTTATATTGCTTGGAAAGCAGTTTTATGGTGTGTGTGTGTGTGTATATATATATATATTTAAATCGGGACAAAAATATTTTTAAATTTTTGAATTATAAATTTATGTTTCTTAAATATTTTGAACATCACCCCTGCTTTTATCTCTATGCATATATATGTAGATATAAAATATTTGGTTGTATATCATGAAAGAAAATTTTCTTTTATCAAACAAAATGCTGCTTTTAAGACAAATTTTATGAGAACCAATTTTTAATCAACAATTTGGAGAATTGCCCTTTTTCTGAAGACTATCAAGAAATTGAAATTAAGAATTTTCCGTTCAACAACAGTATTTTGTAGATCAGCCTCCCACTTAGACGACTTATTTGTAGCAGGAAACATATCTCAATGTGGGTCTAAAGAGAGCCATGATTCCTGGAAATGGAAAGATAATCCAGGTGTCACTGTGGATGGTTCTTCTTTCTAGGAATCAATTTTGTTGGTAATGGGAATTAACAAATCTAGTCTTATATTGGAACCCTGGTGGCAGAGTGGTTAAGAGCTACGGCTGCTAACCAAAAGGTGGGCCGTTCGAATCTACCAGCAGCTCCTTGGAAACCCTATGGCGCAGTTCTACTCTGTTCTATAGGGTCGCTATGAGTTGAAATTGACTCAACGGGTTGGGTGTTTGGTTAGGATTATACTATTTAAATTCTTTAATAATATTTTTCAAATGAATGATGTTTCTTTAACATGACCATGAGAACAAATTCCATCTCTTGTAATGCTTCTGGAGAAGAAAAAAGAAATGCATTGGAATGAAGAGAACAGAGAAAAATCTTCCGAAATTGGTTGAAGACTTTCCTGACCAACTTCCTGCAACATCTACTGATCATAATCCTAAATCTTCATCTGATGGCATGCTTCTACGATATAGAAGGTTAAGAAGTCTTATTAAAAAAATGGTACAATTTACAGTTCGAGTATTAACTTAAAAAATATATCCATGAGCAATTTAAAGATGATAATGTTCACTTAGAGAGTATCTAGAAAAAAAACAGTTTAAATAGTACAGTGGCATAGTCAAAAAGAAGGACATAGGGTGGATAGTTATGGTAACATTTCTCCTCCAAATAGGGAACCCTAACCAAACCAAACCTGTTGCCGTGGAGTCGGTTCCAACTCATAGCAACCCTACAGGACAGGGTAGAACTGCCCCATTGGGTTTCCTAGGAGTAGCGGGTGGACTCGAACTGCCAACATTTTGGTTAGCAGCCGAACTCATGTTTTTGGCTTGTTGTTGGCTGTATCTTTAAAGGAGCTTTTAAAGGCTATACTAAGGATTCACTAAGAATTTACTTGAGTCTCAAAGTATTCTCCTTCCATATGTCTTTTAGAATCAAACTTGCCTTACATAACTGGAATAAGTAAAAATGCAGTCTACAGGTTAATATAACACTTACCTGTCAAGACACCGTAGAATAATAGTAGTCTTTCCCTAGAAATTTAAAAAGAAAGAGTACTGCATTAATGTCGTCCATATGTAAAATTTTATTATTGTTCATAAGTGGGGCCCCAAAACGTTTTTTAATCACTTCAGTGATAAATTATCTGGAAACAAGAAGCTGGAACTTTCAGAATTGTTCTGCAGTCTGATAAGTGGAAAAAGTTAACTGTCAACTTTCCATCATGGTGTAACTACACTGCTATTATTATAATTACAAAGTCCCACAGCTGACAAATACTAGCAAATCGTACCTCACTTTAGTGGTCAACTTGGCAGCTGTCTGAAATTTTCTCTCCACTCATCAGTGCTAATTACTGGTTAAGCTCATGATTAGTGTCTTCAAAAATGTTTTCATTCCAATTATTGAAGTGGAAATAAAGAAAAAAAGATAACATACAAATAGAGGACAAGCTGTAAATATGTTCAAAGTAAGCCATTCAAATACTTTTTGTTTGTTTCAATTCTATACGATGTACTTATTCCAAGTTTCTTTTTTTTTAGGAGTCAAGAAATAGAGGTTCAGGCCCCATCTCTGCCACTAACCAGAAACTTATATTATAGGCAAGGGACTGGCTCAGTGGTTTGAATCTCTCTCTCTTTTTTTATAGTAAAACTCTATTTTTTTAAACGAATGAACTCTTAAAAGAAAACACAAAAAGAGGAGCAGCAGAGAAAACTACAGGAGAAAGCCTTTGGGCTCCAAGGAAAACAGTCTGGAAAAATGGATCATTTTACTACAACCATAATTTTTACCAAAAAAAAGAGAAAGAGCATGAGTGAGAGAGAGACAATAATAAATAAATTACTCCAGATTATCTGGAATATGGTCAAATGGAATGACTATTTTGTAATGAGAAATATAAAGACATAACTGGAATAGTAGCAAAAATGTGTACCGAAGGATGTTTATTGGTGTTATATAAAAGTGAAAAACTAGAAATAAACTAAATATCCAAATAGGGGATTGGCTAAATTAATTATGCTAATCTATACAGTGGATGGGAAAAGGTAGGTTATACAATATATATAGGGAGTCCCTAGGTGGTGCAAATGATTAACACATTCAACAGCTAACTGAAAGGTTGGTGGTTTGAGTCCACTCAGAGGTGCCTCAAAAGAAAGGCCTGGTGATCTAGTTCCAAAAAACCAGACACTAAAAATCCTATGGAGCACAGTTTTACTCTGACACAAGGGGGAACACTGTGAGTCAGAATCAACATGATGGCAACTGGTTTATACATATAATGAACTTGTTTTCAACTTAAAAATAGTTTCTCCAATCATTTCTCTAGGAATCATCACAGTAATAACTCTTTGGCCTTAATGAGAGGCCTCAAAAATCTATTGAACCCCAAAACTTTCTCCTTCTCAGTGAGCCCCTCCCACCTTCACTTCTCATCTTTTCCATCTTAGAGTCCATGGTTTATCACTATAACCATGCCTTGCAAGTATCCGCCCCCTAGGCTTTCTCTCTTTGCATCACACCAGCCTAGCAAAACCCGATCCCAGATAAACTCAATCACCTTTCTCCTCCATGCCTTCACCCATGCAAGTGAGTGCTGGTGGAGAAAAATTATACAGACTGGGCAGACTGGTGTCATCTAACTTCTAAATCCCCATCATCAAAACAGCAGTTAACACTGCCTGGCAATTCTATTACATTTGTCTAGTACAGTCTCTCCTTCATCTGTTGCCAGTAACTTATTCTTTACTAGGCATATTCATAAACTACTACTGGATATTTACTCATTCATTTAAATTCATGTGCCCACATGGCAGTAAGATAAAATGTAGGAATGGTTAAAGTACTATTTCATACATTTTCTTATTATCTCCTTAGAATACTCACTAGACCTCTTCATCTGAGCTACTTCTCTTTGCTTACCTCTGGCTCTTCAAGCCTTAGGCGTCACTCTCTCTTAAAGAGACTTGCCAGTTTCTCAATCTCTTGGGCTGAGTTAGGTGTCCTTCCTGTTTTCCATCGTAGCATTTTTATCATGGTATTTTTATTGCTAGCACCTAAGTACACCTATACATGTACTAGCACCTAAGTTCCTTTACGTGGAGAATGTCTTTAACCAGTGTTTCCCCAGTGTCTAGCTGGATGCCTACCACGTAAGAGATATTCAATAAATGTTTACTGCACAGAAGAAGAGAAGATTGGGAAGGAGAAAGAGAAGGCAGAAAGATAGTTGGTTTATTTGGAGAAAGATGGTTACTGTTTGACGACAGAAGCATTCATTGCTCACTTCTCTTTATCTTTCAGAATACATTAAAAAACAAATGTTCTCCATAAAGGTCAGAATCAGATATTTTTCAAAGGATAATACCCTCAAAAGTTCTAGATATCTCAAGGGAGACTCCAAATCCTCAAAAACAAAATTAGTTTTAATTAATGAAAATAAACAAAAAACAGCTTGTATACACCACATATCTATCAAGAAGAAGGATGGTTTTGTAAAAACAAAACAACAGGTTGTCAAAACTACAAAAAAGTGAAGACCAACCATGTTACAGAGAGTGATTAGCAGAGAATGCTAGTTGGAGCCTTTTGTGTGTGAGTCTATGCTGGATTCAGTAATTAGATCAGAACAGTACTCTTATTATAAGCCATCTTCAAGCACATGGAAGTAGCTTCTTTACACAGGATATTCTCTGTAATAGGAATTTAACTGTACCATAAGACTAGTACTGGATATTTACTCATTCATATAAATTCATGTGCGTACACGGCAGTAAGATAGAAGTAGGAAGGTGTTAAAAACACTAATCGTCGAGTCAATTTCATCTCATAGCGACCCTATACGACAGAGTAGAACTGCTCCATAGGGTTTCCAAGGAGCAGCAGGTGGATTCGAACTGCTGACTGCCACATCTTTCTCATGCAGTGCGGCTGGTGGGTTCAAACTGTCGACCTTTCAGTTAGCAGCCAAACGCTTAACCACTGTGCCACCAGGGCTCCTTTAAAATACTATACCTGATGCAAAATCACTCTCCTCACAATAGTAAACTCATGAAATAAAATGTTTATTTACTGTAGATGGGTTAAAATTTCCTATGACAATTTCATTTTTAAAAACTAAATGCAGATAAAATTATAAAGTAGGCCAATATGAAAAATTTGGAAAATACAGAAAATGAAAATCAAAATAACAGCACACTGATGAAATTTTTACTATTCATATTTCCTTCTAGTTTTTGTCTTTGCATTTTTACATAGCTGTGACCATACTGTATATAAATATCGATGACCTGTTTTTTTTCAATAAACATTACATGACCAAAAAAACCCCAAATCCATTGCCGTCGAGTCAATTCCAACTCATAGTGACCCTACAGGTCAGAGTAGAACTGCCCCATATGGTTTCCAAGGAGCAGTAGGTGGATTCAAACTGCTGACCTTTTGGTTGGCAGCTAAGCTCTTAATCACTATACCACCAGGGCTCCAAACACTATAAAAATTTCCTTTATTACTAAAAACTCTTTTACAGTTGTATAATTCCTCCAATAAATATAATCTCAAATTTGCATGTAACATTTCCACAACGGTGGGTGTTCAGTTGTGCGTGGAGGGCGTTCTGGGACACTGCCTGACAGGAGGACACAGAGGGCTGCTCAGGATGCCTGGGTACTGACTGCCTGGGAAGATGAAGCCTTGTTGATCTTAGTTGCTAAAAGCCTTGCATACAACAACATGTTCATAAGTGGAAGCATGAAGCACAGAAATTGAACAGTATATGAACCCCAAACAGAAACGAGCTATGATGCTGCATGGATTTCAGCATCTGGGATCTGGCAAGCCTCAACCTTTTTTCAGACAGTGTCACAAGCAGTTCTGCCTCCCTGGTAGGAACTTTGTGGGCCAAGAAAAGCTGCAAAAAGACATGATGCATCTGTCCCACTTTGTGTGGTCATTTCCAAAACACTTCTGTATCCTTGGCTAAATAAAACAGGAATTTACAGCGGGGGATGAAGGGAGCTCTCTTCCTACCAATCAGTAGTCCAATGGAAATGCTGCTATTTTTTCCCAACATTTTCCACAATCGATAACCTTTTGATAGTCACCACTGGCACACAGTTCTTCCTTAGATGAGACTCCTAAAAGTGAAGTAAATGAATCTAAAATATGAATACTGTTAATATATTGACGTGTTAGATTTTTAAATGGTTCCTGGTTTTTATAATCAATTAAGGTAGAATACCTGAATATTTTCAAATTATAAAACCAAAAACCAAAGTTAAAATACTTTTTAAAATTTTATTTATTATCATAATTTTTCCTAGATCAGTATCTTCTAACTAACACTGCTTTCACAGTTTCTGTTCTACGTCCCAGCTCGGTGAGTAGTGCCTGGGGTTTTAAAAGCTTGCAAGTGGCCATCCATCATACAACAATTGGTCTCTATTTGCCTGGAGCAGGAGAGGAAGAAGGAGACCCAGGAGTTGGAGAAGGAACTGGACTGCACGTCTAGTTGTCTCCATGTACTGCCTCCTTTGCTGTGAGACTGGAAGAACTGAGCATTTTGATCAAGGACTCACGAGATGAATCCTGATCAAAAGGGGCAAAATGTGGACCAGAATTTAAAATTTATTACAGAACCCAGACTTACTGGACCCATTGAGGCTGGAGGAATCCCCAAATCTGCTGCCCTAAGAAAATTTTTTAACCTTTAATTAAAACTATCCCTTGAAGTCATCTTCAAACTAAACAACAGTTTAGCTGAATTAGTAAAGAAGGTTTGCCTTGAGCATTGTGTTCTTTTAAAGAATTATCTCTATGAGATGAAATCGACATTAGTAACTCTAAAGCATAGACGAGTAGTTTATGGAGCAGCAAGTCTGTCAATGCTGGTGAAATAATATGGGGAGAGACAGAATAGTGACACAAGGTAAAGAATGTAACTTATGCCAGTGAACTGTAAATGTAGATATTGCTGAATGGGTGTATGATCTGCTGTCTGTATTTTCACTAAAAAAAAAAAACCCTCAGAAATAAGAAAACAAACAATCTAATTATAAAGTGGGCAAAAAATCTAAGCAGAGACCTCACCAAAGAAGACATAGAGATGGCAAATAAGCACATGAAAAGATGCTCAACATCACGTGTCACTGTTCTTGTTAGTTGCTCTCAAGTTGATTCCAACTGATGGCAATCCCGTGTGTGCAAAGCAGAACTGCTCCACAGGGTTCTGAAGGCTGTGACCTTTCAGAAGCAGATTGCCAGGCCTGTCTCCTGAGGCACTCTAGGTGGGTTGGAACCAGCAACTTTTCAGTTAGCAGTTGAGTGTTCAAGCGTTTGTGCCACCCAGGGACTCATATGTCGTAGTTGTTGCTGTGTTCCGTCAAGTTGATTCCAACTCACAGCGACCCCATATAACAGAGCAGAACTGCCCTATAGGGTTTACTAGGCTATAATCTTTATGGGAGCCGATTGCCAGGTCTTTTCTCTCTTGGAACAGCTGGTGGGTTTGAACTGCCAACTTTTTGGTTAGCAACCTAGCACTTAACCATTGCACCACCAGGGCTCCTTCATATGTCATTACAGAAATGAAAATGAAAACAATAATAAGATACTACTACACACCTATCAGAATGCCTAAAATCCAAAAAAAAAAAAAAAAAAAACTGACGATATTAATTACTGGTGAGGATGTGGAGCAACAGGAACTCCCATACATTGCTGACAGGAAGAAAGAAACGGTACAGCCACTTTGAAAGACAGTCTGGCAGTTTCTTACAAAGCTAAAGCCAGGCTTATCATATGATCTAGCAATTGTGCTCATACTAATTTACTCAGCTGATTTGAAAAGGTACGTCCACACAACAACCTGCACACAAATTTGGTGCAGCTTTATTCATGATCACCAAAAGCTGGAAGCAACCAAGATATTCTTCAACAGAAAATCAGTAAGCCAACCGTGGTACATCCATACAGTGGACTTTGATTCAGCGATAAAACAGAGAGGAGCAATGAAGCCACGAAAAGACATGGATGAATCTTAAACGCATATTGCTAAGTGAAAGAAGCCAGTTTGAAAAGGCTACATACTGTATGATTCCAACTATAGGACATTCTGGAAACGGTAAAACTAGAGAAAAAGTGAAAAGATCAGTAGTTGCCAGAGGCTGAGGAGAGAGGGGAGGTGGCTGAATAAGGGAAGCACAAGAAAGCGTGGTAAAACTATAATGTATGATACGGTAATGGTGGGTTCATGACTCTATGCATTTGTCAAGACCCATAGAACTTTACAGCACAAAGACTGAATCTTAATGTATGTAAATTAAAAAAAAAAAAAAATCTAGGTCAGGACATCTCAGGATGGAATGCAGAGTATGACAAAACACTGTCAGATGGTGAAAGCCCCAAGTGGACTACAACTTGGAAAAAAGCAACGTAGAGCAACATGGAGGTTTTTAAAACCATGTTTGCTTCTATTGATTATGACAGACTGAGATTGTCTAGTAACTACGAATTAACAAAAATCAAAACAGACCGTCCTGTGGAAGAGAACTCTCCCATTGCTGGAGATATTCAAATCTGACTATACCATCACTGTTTGGAAGTATTGTAAAGCAGTAGTCCTTAGCCTTTTGGGATGTGTTGGAACCCTGTGAGAATCTAATTTCCCATAAAAAAGGCATATATTTCTAGGGAGTTAACTGACCCCAAGAAGTGTCTCCACAGACTTTGGTTAAGAATCCCTGTTGTAGAAAACTAGAGCATCTCCAATGTTCCTTCAGTTTCTGTGACTATAGTTAAGATAAATGTATCATATCCTACATGCTTCAGGTTTTTATTATCCATATACCTTTTTTTCAGTTGTACAAGTGAAACTATAAATATGACCATCAGATTAGCTGCCTTTATGCAAATCGGGAAAAGGTGACTCCTCTGGTCAGTCAAACAAGAAATAAGTGCCCCTTCCTCCAGGCTGCTGTGGTCCACGTCAGGGCGGCACTTGGTAAAAAGAGCTCAGGCTGAATGTCAGTCCCCACTCACCCCTTCCACAGGGCACCCTCAGACAGGCCACCTCCAGCTCCTACATTGGCAGGTCAGAGACTGGTCATCTGGTTAAGAGCTGAAGTACCCAAATTTTTAGAAAAGTATTAAAATAAACTTTACCACTGGTTAAATCATCACAATACTAAAAAAAAAAAAGTAGGAAAAAGGCATTACCCCGTTTTTACTGCCAATGAAGAAAACAGATCTTTCTCCAATTTCAACTCCATCACCTTCATTACCCATACTTCCTCTTTTTTCCACTTCAGCTTTGGCAATTTCCCAGAGTGTTTCACTATACGAGAGACAGAAAAACAAAATTCAGAGAAAGAAAAAGGATCCTCACAAATATTTGTTTCATGCTCAGAGAAGTTTTCAGACAAATTTATAAAACAAATCAACATTATTTTTCTAAGGGACAATAACTTGCTATAGCTGAAGATTAGTCATCTTGTGATTTTTTTTTTTTATACTGGTTTATCAAAGAATGCTGAGAATGATAAGCAGAGCTTCTATCACCAGGATTTCAGGTTATCTTATTTTGTGGTTTATAGGTTGACAGCTATGTGATAGCACCTCAGATAGCACCTCAAATATGGAGGTACAATGACTTTTGGAAATGTACAACTTGAAAACCACCAACACTTAAATCATCTAGGAAAATGAGGAATGTGTAAGACCAGTGTACCAAACAATCCGTGTTCCTTGAAACATTTATTTTTTGTTGCTGTTGTTTACTAAATTATATTTTGGGGTCATGAGTCCCTCCTTTTTTCATAAAAGTATAAAGAAGGGGACAAAAAACACCAAAAATCTTAAATATTTTGAAGATTCCTTTTTTTAACACACATATATAATTTTACACAAATAGGATCATATCATTCATTTTTTTAAAATTAAATCCTAAGTGAAAAATGGAGTATTGAACTAAAACAAAAAACAGAAACATGAGAGACCTGACTGGTTCTAGTTTGAATCTACTACTATTTAGGTATGGGAACTTGGGGGCAAATGACCTAACTCCCTGGATCCTTTATTCAGTGAGCACTTTATACATGCAAGGCTTTGGGCTAGTCCCCAGGATCAGCTCTGTTTACTCACCTCTAACATGCTGACAAAGAAAGAACACCAACTTTATGGGGTGGTGATGATTGTTAAAGTATGATAATCCATTTAGTTGAAGGCTGGTGGATACAATTACCTAAAACTTATTGACTGCTTACAATTATTATTATTCAAGAACCGAGAATGAAGAAGGTGGCTGTAAAAGGCTAAAACAGGTGTCTGGCTCAGTAATAGAAGTCTCCTTTCAGGCAGGAGACACGGGTTTATTTGTGGCCAATGCACCTCGTGTGCAGCCACCACCTGTCTGTCAGTGGAGGCTGTGTGCTGTCATGATGCTGAACAGGTTTCAGTGGAGCTTCCAGACTCAGACTAGGAAGAAAGGCCTGGTGATCTACTTCCGAAAACCCTATAGACACAATGGTTCAATCCCCACGGCTTCGCCAGGAGTTGAGGGCAGCTAACAACAAATGTATGCACTAAAATCATACATTTATTTCTAAAGTGTGCCCCCCGGCCCTTAGTGGGAGCCTGTCTGCTCTTCATTTACACACCATCTTTTTTTTTTTTAAAAAAAAAAAACTGCTTTCTAAGTACTCAGCAGAGGAGAGGAGGTGCTATAATCAGACAAGCCACCTGTGGAAATTTAGAACTACAACCATACTTTATAACTGTAACCAATTATGCTGTGATGGGCAGCTGACAATTTTTCACACACGCTGATCACAAAGTGAGCAAAACAGCTTTATTTCGCTTTGTGATGCACTTCGTGACCCCTCACCCTGACATCTTTATAAAAATTGTCCTCAGAAGACTGAGATATGATCTTGAGAACAGGTAATGAAGTTGACATCAGACAACTGAAGAGCTAAAACGTATTTTAACCAAAAACCACGTTAAAGTCATCAAAATCCTTTTTTCCTTTTGAACGTGACCTTATACTTTCCACAGAGCTTTCGCGGTTTCCCCTGCACCAAGCAGGGGAGGCCCCTGAGGAGGCTGCCTTGTGCTCGGTTCACCACTGTATTCTCGGCTCCTAGCACAATCCCTTGCCCTCAAGAAACTTTGCTTAAATGAGTGAACAGATGAACTTGATTTTTCGAAGTCTTTTACTTTTCTACTTGGGGAACAGTTGTTTGCTCAAAGGTAGTTCTTACGGACCTCTGACCATCTAGACCCGGGTTGCAGGCGGGACAGACTCAGATCTCCTACCATCTGTAGGTCCAGCGAGGGCTACCCCTCCCCAAAATACCCCCAGTGGCTTCTCCCTCCCAGCCCCTCGCAGGCTGGGGTGAGAAAGTGGGGAGAGTCTCGAGAAGAGCGTAAGGCAGGTGCAGGCAGGGCTGGAAGCGAGGGTACCTGGGCATCGTGTTTCTGGGCCCTGAGGTAGCGGGCTCGGCGTAGGGCCCAACCTAGAACGCAGCAATCATCGACCTCCGAGGTGGGCCCGGGAATGCGGGCCGCTGGGTTGCCATGGGAACGACGTCGCGTCTTTGGTTGCGCACGGAGGAAGGCATCATGGGAAGTGTAGTTCTCAGCGTTCCTTTTCAAGTCTCTCCGTGAGAAGCCAACGTGACAAGTGGTTACAAACCTGGGACCTAAGCAATCGTTTCTGTACTGGAAGTGTTGTTTTATTCAAGAAATATTTTACTGAGTGCCAGAGGTCTCTGCTCTCTCATTAGTTACTTTTCTCTCACCATAGCAATGATTTGGGAGTAGAGGGTGAAACAATCTTCTGAGCTGTTTTCTAGTAATTTACTAGAGGCAAAGAATATTCACATCTTAAAACTGACAATAAGACGTGTAGTTGCTGCAGGTTTTATATGATGGCACTTCCTTTATTAATATGTTAATAAAGAAAGAGCATTTCCTACATACTTGATTTACTTTATGAAGGTGATTATTTTTGTTCAAACTTTATGATTTCTTCATAGATCTCCAGAAATCTTCAAATCAATAACAAACTTTGAGTTACTACTATATGCAAGGTACTGTGCTACAGAGAGTAAGGAAGAAGACAAGCTCTCTGCCCTCAAGAAAGACATACACATCTAATTATAATAACCCATGCAGGCGCGTAATATAAACTACTGCAGAAAGGCACAAAAGTTACATGAGAACACGTGACTAATTATGTCTGAATGGCTGTTGAAATATTTATGACAGTGATAGTGTCTGATTTGTCTTGAATGCTGAATAGAGAGCCGACTCTCTAGCCCCAAGATGCCCTGAATATTTGAAGGAGAGTCTCTTCCTGCCATTTGACTTGAGTTTTACGGTGTAATGTTCCAACGGGCTTGGGAGTAAGGTGGACCTAGATTCACATTCTAGCTCAGCCACACTGTGTAAACTGCCACATTGCTACTTTGTATAAACTACTCAACTTCTCTGAGACTTAGTTTCTGATTTTGTAAAGTGGAGGAAAATTGGGAGTTTTAAAAGGGATAAGTACATGTAAAACATAAGTTATGTATGTACCTGACACATTATAAGGGCTCAGTGCTTGTTATTATCATGGGGTAGCCTGCTGGTCATCAGCTTTAAACAAAGAAACACAAGGATCATATTGCCAGGAATGAGGTAGATGGCTGGTAAAGAGGCATTCACCTCAGATAAAACCTTTGGGAATAAAATCCTTCCAACCCCTAAAGTGCATTTTTGAGACAGGGTCACAAAGAGGAGAAGATCACAGCTGCACACAGGAAGAGATGGAAGTGGAGTGTTCCTGTTCAACGAAGAAAGCATTGCCAGGGAGGTCAATACATATATCACTGAGTCAGCATCTATATCTGGGGCTAGACAGCCTATAGGCTCACAAACTGATTGACAGATTGTAATGAATCATGATTTTAGTTGTGAAACTTTGGAAACCCTTTGCATGTTAGGAAGTCCTGTTGATATTGATAACAATCATGATAGCTAACATTTTTTCTGAGTGCTTGCTATGTACTAGGCTCAGTACTAGCTCTTTAAAAGTGCAATGTTTAGACAACTGGGATAGGTAGTTGAAGGAGGAAGCCTGGTAACAAGGGAGGTGAAGGTTATCTGGCTGGCCCCTGATCACTAGTGTTGATTCAGTTGATTTGATTGAGCAGGTGAATTCTCTTTTCTTCCCTTATTCCTCCCAAAGCTTCATACTTGGACAAAGAAACTGACCTTCCTGGGTAGATGAAAATTGTTTTCAAGGCAAGAGTATACAAAGATTTGAGCTCTCCTACTGGGTCACCCCAAGAAGTACCAAGGATTTCAGCAGTGATGGAGGAAGAGGCAATTTTATGCTGCTTGCTAGAAGGGTAAAGGGTGTATTTGGGGAACTGAATAGTTTGGGGTTGGGGGCATGTAAGGTGCCTGGTAGGGCTAAGATGGGAAAGCAGGTAAATTGGGCCACCATGGAGGACCACGAAGTCTGGCTTTTACCCTGAGTATTATGAGAAACAAAGATGAGTTTTAAACAGGGGTGTGCCGTGACTAGACCTGAGTGTCAGTGAGCTAATTTTTTACAGCTGTGTGAGGATGTTTTGGTGCCTGGAAGACCACATGGAGGCTATTAACAATAGTGACAGAGTTTTCACATTTTTTCCCCTTGTTTTCAAAGTTACATAAGCTTATGAAAAGTGGTATGCAGAAAAAAATGAAAAGAGGCTAAAATAAGCATACCCAGGAGTAATAACTATTAATTTTGGTGTATTTCATTCTCGTTTTTTTCTTAGAGTTGAGATTATAACTGTAAAGTTACTTTCATACCCTGATGTTAACATATTATTTCCCCATAAAACTAATCATAAACATCTAGCTTTGATGGTTGTGTAATATTCCACTATATAGATTTTTCATAATTTACTTAAGCAGTCTCCTAAAGCCTTGTGTTTAAGGTGGTTCAGAGTACTGGACATAAGATGGATTAATTAGGGTTCTTCCTGGGATTTTTCAAATTAGAATTGGGAAAAGCAAGTCACTTCCTGCATTAATTTCCCAAGGCTGCCATAACAAATTACCATAAACTGGGTGTATGAAGAGAAATTTATTCTCTCACAGTTCTGGAGCTGGAAGTCTGAAATTAAGGTGTTGGCAGGGCTATGCTGCCTCTGAATCCTCTATGGAAGAATCTTTCCTTGCTTCTTCCAGCTTCTGGTGATTGCTGGTAATCTTTGGCGTTCCTTGCTTTGTGGTAGCATAACTCCAATCTATGGCCCCACTTTAACTTAATTACATCTGGAAAGGCCCTATTTCCAAAGAAAGTCACATTCACGGGTTCTGGATGGAGATGAATTTTAGGGAGACACTATTCAACCCAGTCTACTTCTCCTCAGGAGAAAATTAGCATATGTTTTGCTAAATGAAGAAGCTACTTTGTAGAAGAGAATATGATGCTGACAAACAGTGATATGAAGAGAAAGTCCAGGCACATGTCTCATGGTTCCTGTTATCCCTCAGGCTCGGCTGTGTCCCCCACATTCTTATGGCTTGATTGTTCAACTCCCCCTTGGATTATGAGACACCCTAGTATCCCTGCAATAAATGTTCTTCTTTTGGTCTAAGTTAGTTTAAGTTGAATTTTGGAATTCACAACAAAAGAAAGTAGAAAGTGAGGGCTTGGGTAAAGGGAAAAAAGTCAAGTTCTCTCCCTTGGATAACTGATGAGTTGGTGATCCTATGGACCAATTGTTAGGCACACAGAGGAGAAGAACCAGGTTTAAAGGAAAACATAACAAATTGGTTTGGACGTGGTGAGTTTGAGATACCATCCAGTACACAGTTGGGCCATTTAAAGTCTGTCGATCACTGGCGGTTAGGGAGTCAATGGTAGCCTTACATAAAGAAGTTTCAATAGAACAATGGGGACACGACACTAGTGTTGCTGGTATTCACCAGAACCCTGGGGGGGAAATCTTATCTGTGCATAATTCAAAAGCTACTGGGAATCTGCCTCAAACATTTCTAAGATTACTCATTTTCAATAAATTCTTCTCTCATAAAAGGCAATTCTGACTGGAGTTTGATAGGCCTGTAGTAATTTCTAGAAATTCCAGAAGTTAATAACTTCTCAGCCATCTCTGGTGCTATCCAACATTCAGTTCTCAGGGACTCTTCCCAGGGATTCATTAGAGCCACATATACAGAAAAAATAAGCCTTCTCAAGCCACTGTTACTGCTAAAGCAGAGTCACCTGAGTTCAATAAAGCCACCCAAATAGCCTAGCAACACCTTCAGAAAGGCATAAAACCTCCACCCCACCTATTTATTAGAAGATTACTTTAGCAAAATGCTGGAAGGTACTCTGTAGTCAAGTGCTCTAGTGAACATCTGGAGCCCTGCTGGCACAATGGTTAAGTACTCAGCTGCTAACCGAAGAGTCATCGGTTTGAACCCACCAGTGGTTCCATGAAAGACCTGGCAATCGGCTCCTGTAAAGATTACAGCCTAGGAAACCCCATGGGGCAGTTCTACTCTGTCCTACAGGGTTGCTATGAGTCAGAATCAACTTGAGGGCACACAGCAATAACAACAACAGTTGAACACATGTGTCCTGTTTTGGAGTTATTTGCTAACAGATGTTTTCCTATTGAAACGTTTTGTTCCTTGACTGTTATTGGACTCCAAAATAATGGTATTATAAAGCATATCATGAGGATTTTTGGATTGATGTTGATTATAAATACGTCTCAAGAATCACTGTGACTATGTTCAGTTTAGGTAAAATTAATTTCAACAAACAAAATGATAGTATAGAGCAAGTATATTTCATCTCACCCAACCTCCTCCTCAGGCCCAACCAATTCTTCAGGAGGATCCTCCCACGTAAATGCCCAAGAAAATCCTGAGCCTGGCTCTCTCTGAAATCCTGTTTCACCCTAATATCTATGTGTGAACTTTGCCTTAATTTGACGTTTAAAGAAAAGAAGAAAAATTTTAAAAAAAGAAGTTGCTCCAGTAGCAATAAAAGCCTTTTCTTCTTCTAGGGCAAGAATAATAGGGGCAAAACATGACAGATTAGACTTCCGCATGAGCCAGAAATCCTCAGTCCCCACCATACTGGAGCGTCTCCTTCACAGGAACCATCCCAGGGCTCTGCCTTGAGGGAACCCCAATCCCATGGCGCTGAGGATGGGGGATCGGTGAAAGGTGTTGCTGGCATCCCAGGAACACTTAAAAAGTGTTTTTCTAGAGAACTATGGTTATCTGTGGTGGCTAGTGCTTCAGGATTATACTTTAGTACAATTATGAGTTAAATGTATTGTCCTAGGAACCTGACCACCATGTATTTTTTTCCATAGAAACATTTTTCAAGCAACCAACTAATAAACACATTATTGGAATAAAGACTCTATAAGTTGTGACTAACTTCTCTTGTACATAGAGAGTTAAATTTAGTTCCAAGCTATGGCAGTAGCAGCTAACTTCAAGGACTTCTTTATCCTGTACCCCCCCACCCCAATTCAGAACATTTAAAATAAAATTTTAAAACACAATCCATTCAATCCACTTTATGACATAAGTTCCCTTAAGGAGCTTTTTACAAAATTGTTGGCAAACCAAAATTTTCATCCATTAATATATCTACTCATATATTATAATATGTACTTATGTGCATACGTATGCACTAAACTTACAATTTGCCAAAACAGCTTCCTTTTATATGAATAAAACAAAGCAACACTGAAGACAAAGCATGAATGCAAGAAGAGGAGGTAATAACTATCATTTACACTAGTAGTACACCTCAGCTTTGACAATGAAAACACTGGATATTTCTGGAAGATTATTCAAAAGATAATGTTCAAAATGGTTTTTGTAAATCATTTATTATGATTGAAAGGGAAGAAAATGATAGGAGACAAATATTACAATTAAATGTGTAACATTACTCTCTTATAACCAATCATAATAACATACTTTGAATTTTTTAAATGGCTATATAAGTACTTTGCCAGAAAATAAAATTTTCACATCATCAGTTACAGAAAATTGATTTCTTTCTATCAAAATATTTTCTCTCTGCTCTATCAAAAATAAATGCTAAGTCTAAGGTACTACAATTTAAGCTAAGCTTCACTACTTGCTTAAATTAGAAGTTTCTGGAGGTCTTAACAGAGAGTGAACTACTGCCTGAGAATAAAGTGCTCGAACATATGTAATAGCTCTGCCAAGCCTCTGGCTCACCAGCTAATGATTCTTAAATGGTTTTTCTGGGAACTTGGGAACTCTATTGTATCCCAGCCAGAAGGCTCCTGAGAGTCATCCCAAACTGGCAACCAGTTTATACTCAAGGACTGATCGGTTTACTCAGTGAATGGTTGTAACTCAAAAAACTTAGGGGAAGCAGTCAATGGAAATCTGTTTCTATGAGGTTTTTTTGACCTTCTTTTTGTCATTACCGATAAAGTATTACCGCAGAAATATATTCTTGCCTCTGACCGTTATAAGGATGCTAACATGGAATGGAGTATTTTAAAGGACACTTTAAAAAGGCTTAGTGTGAGAACAGTGCATTGCCATGTGGAGAAAGCAGCAAAGAAGAAAATATGAAGGCTCTGCCAACAAATTAATTCAACAGTTAATATGTTTAAAAATTGGTTAAAAAAATACCACACACAAAGTGATAAATATATGTTCAAAAAATAAATACAAATATTCTATACATAAATAAAATTAAGCATACTCATGATTACTATTACAATTAAACATTTAAAAAATATAACTTTCATATCTTATCACAGTTTGATTTTTATTATGAATTAATACTAATAACTTTGTTTTGACATGTACTGAAATGTCTTGACCAATTACATAACCTAGTAATTATGGTGTTGGGGAAGAATACTGAATATACCATGGACTGCCAGAAGAACGAACAAATCTGTCTTGGAAGAAGTACAGCCAGAATGCTCCTTAGAAGTGAAGACGGCAAGACTTCGTCTCACGTACTTTGGACATGTCAGGAGGGACCACTCCCTGGAGAAAGACATCATGCTTGATAAAGTAGAGCGTCAATGAAAGAGAGGAAGACCCTCAACAACATGGACTGACACAGTGGCTGCAACAGTGGACTCAAACACAGCAACGACTGTGAGAATGGCACAGTACCGGGCAGTGTTTCATTCTGTCATACGTAGGGTCGCTATGACTCGAAGGCACCTAACAACAAGAAGAACGCAACGCATTTTCAAACTCTTTCAACTAAAATTTTACCCCCTTTGATGGAAAAACTATTTTCTCTTTTCTTTTAAAAATATTTTTGGTAATTTGTTTCAAACTATAATTAGAAGGGACTGTATGCAAGGGAAATACTTTAAAGATTGTCTTTGTTTTCAAAGATATTGTTACTTAACAAAGCAAGGTCAAAATGACCCAGTTCCAAATGCAATAAAATGTGGGCAATTTTCCATTAACCTCTGACTATGGTGATGACTCAAGAATGTCAGGAGTCGCTTTCTCATATTAAATTTCACACTCCAGGGATCCGAAAAGGTGAGAAGGTATACTTTCTAATGCCACACAGGAGGGCCTAGTTACCTAACTTCTGTTTTCTCACATAATGATTCACAGAGTCAGAAGGTTAACTGCACTCACTCTAAAAATCTACCCCTTAAACAGCACCCTGCAGCTGTTTCTTACACTGAGTACACCACTCTTTTCCAAACACCCAATCATTAACTACAGGCACATTTAATTGTAGTGCTTAATCTTTTTTGGCAGTGAACATTTCCAAATAATCAAACGGTTTACCAAATAAGAGTTTTGGAATCTCCCTTTCTAAAGATTGCCAGAATATTTAAAAAAGGAAAAGAAAAGCTATATTGCACAATGCGTGAGAGAGACGGACAAAATGACGATTTCTTACACATTTAATTTAAGAGACAATCAGTGTATTGGCAAATATTCTGCTTTTGCTTCACTAGTAGTATTCATCGGGATATTTGAGAATAAATAAGAGAGAGTAACTTGTATTATTTTTCAAGTTTGGCAGACTGTTGTGTGGGTGCTAAACTGCCAGAATGCACCTGAAGTTCTCTGAAGCTGACACACCCAGTGCACAGAGGACAGGAGATGACTGTTCAGGCTCTTTTGATTTCAGAGTAAGGTGGGGCCTTTGGTCGGTCTGCTGCTTGACAGAAGGGGCTGGCTTCCCATCGCCCTGGCTTGGGGTCCCCGGGTCCGGGCCAAGAGTGAGGGTGGAGCAGAGAGGTGGTGAAGCGCTGCCTTTTGCTGATGGAAGTTGTTTATGTAACTGGCAATCAAAAGGGTGATTTCAAGAATCTGAAACAAGAAAAACCGGTTTGTTATGCACCTGAGAAGTTCTCATCACTTCCAAAAGACAGAGAAGGGTTGGCCATGGTGGTCTCCATTGGCAAGAACCCATGATACCAGAACTCCCTTCTGTCCAGATCAAACAATAAAGTAGTTACATGACCAGAACCACCAAGGCACTGACACATTTTTCTATTACTTAAACGAGCAGGAAGAGTCAATCTCAAAAAATAATTAAATTTGGTAGCAATATCAGAAAATATGATAGTAGTGTAACTATCAATTATCTTAAAATTTGTGAATACATGAACTAAGAAATTCAGTGTATCATTTCAACTATTTAAACTAAATAAAGTGCTGAGAGCGGCATCATCTTCTAGATTTATTGGCTGATGGCACAGTGGTTAAGCGCTCAAATACAGGAAGAAAAGTCATCAGTTCAAACCCCGCAGCTGCTCTGTGGGAGAAAGATGTGGCAGTCTACTTCCGTACAGATTTACAGCCTTGGAAACCCTATGGGGCAGTTCTACTCTGTCCTATATAGTTACTATGAGTCCGAATCGACCTGACTGCAGTGGGTTGTTGGTTTTTTGCCCTTGCTTAAGTATAGATTTAATTAAAAAAGATATCTGCCATTAAAAAAAAGAAATCTTCAGGTTCTAAAGAAGCATCTTTTTGTTGCCAATGATAAAACAGTTAAAGTTTTTAGGAAAATCAATTTCTCATTCTTTTGACTAAAATTGGAATTACTTACAATGTAGCCCTTTTATTTATTGCTTTTACTTAGACTCATTAAAACTAGGCAGTTCATAAAAAATAGTAAAGGAACAAATGTTTTAATGATAAAACCTTGCTCTTTCCTCTAATGAAACCATAAAGTTAATGACCCCAACTAAATAAGATAATATGTATAAAGTACCTGACAACAACTTACACCATGACCATCTATTTGCTTAACCTCTGTGTACTGGGCTAAGTACTATACAAGGTCAAGTCCTTCATTTAATTCTGAAGCCATAAGAAGGAGGTAGTATCATACCATTTTTTAGATCAGGAAAGAAGGAATATGAGGTAAGCCAAAATTTGAATCAAGCACTACCCGATTCTAAGTAAAGTCTGTTTCCCCACTTGAAGCATAGCCTTTACTCGATAAATGTTAAAGTATAAAAAAATCTATGTAACAAAGTGGACATAAATGCTTCCACTCACCTTGGGTTTTGCCATTGCAAAAAGTAATTTCTCCGTTGGTTTGTCCTTCAAATGCATATTGTTGATGACTACCATAAAATCATCTTGATAACCTCCAAAGGTCATTAGACTCCTATACACATAGCTGACTATTAGCCTCTTAAAAAAGAAGAAAAACTAAATGTAAGTTATAAGTTACTTTCAAGAAAGATGAGAAAAGATTAATAATATCTAGCTCCATTAAAATATCAATAATAATTAATTATGGTAAATACAGAAAATTGTTTTCTAAAATCAGATCTATTATGATCCAAAACAGACAGTAGTGGTACTAATTTTATTTAAGCATCATTTGCCTTTATAATTAAAATACATTTTTGATTCTGAAACAATTGACCCACTGCAGAAAAATTTAAAAATACAGGAAGAAAATAAAAGCACCTATATTCCAGCATCCAGGGAAAAAACACTGTTAATATTTTTCATCTTATTATTATTATTTTTTTATTGTACTTCAGGTGAAGGTTTACAGAACAAATAGTTTCTCATGAAACAGTAGTACACATGTTGTTTTATGACATTAGTTAACAACCCCATAACATGTCAACCCTCTAACTTCTCGACCTTTTTTTTTTGGTGAAAATACACATAGCCAAAGATACACCATTTCAAAAACTTCTACATGCACAGTTCATTGACACTGACTATGCTCTTCCAATTGTGCTGTTATTCTCACTTAAGATGAAGGCTTACAGAACAAAATAGTTTCTCATTTAACAGTTACTACAAATGTTGCCCTATGAC